AATTTAAAAAGTATAATTTTAAAATTATTTTGTAAAAATGTTTTTATTCTTTTTTCTGTTTGTTTGAACTTTTCTAATCTGTTTTAATTATATTGAGATAAGAAAAATATTAAGAATATATAAGTAATTTCGAAGTCATTTTCATAAATATGAGTAATTTTAGATGCTCATAAAATTAAATAAATTTCTGATACTTGCGTGTTGCTGTTGTCTTGTCCTTCCCGAAGGGAAATAAGGAAAGTTGCCAGAGACTGAGTCTGGTTGGGCTTCTAGACGCACGCCTGTCGTTGACCAAAGCCTTGAGCACTCTACAGGTGACATTACGATTTTGCTCGTTTCCACCCCAATTTTGAGGGAGAACACCCTTAACTCGCCTCTCTTCCCCTTCCCCCCACCTCACGAGAGGACTTGTGATTCGATGGCTTTTTATTGTACCCTCATTTTGTAAATGCACTATCCTTTTTCAAAACTCCATGTCTACAGCGGGATTCGAACCCAGGCCCTACGGTACTGCAGTCGGCGCTGTTAGCCTTTACATCGGATGGGTTACTCCTGTGCAATTTACCGAATAAGATACAAATTGAAGGTAGATGCGTTTACAATAGCCGAACAAAGATGAATACATTTTTTATGATTTATTGCGCTAGAATATCTATGTAAAATTGTTTTAAAAATCGTATTACAAACATAAAAATAAAAAAATAACATTAATATAATTTGTTTGACAAAATATAAAGAAAAAAAAGGACATTTTAAGAAAAATATTCTTTTTTTATGGGTATTTCTTTTCTGTAGTAATAATATTTTGAATAAATATAGCTAAAATTTCCCTACAGAGCCTGAACTAGGATTTTTTTGAAATATATATGTTCGAATTGGATGCATTCATAATTTTTTTTTATATCAGTAAGTGAGTGAGTGAAAATTAACGTCGCACTGTTCAGCTACACGAGGGCTTTTGGCGACGGACATCTTAATTTTCAATTATGGTCAAATGACAAGGATGACACCTGAGCTGGCACCACCTCTCCTAACTACCACACCAACGGGAGGACGTCTGAGCTCTCGACAGATTTAACATGCATCGCTCCCCTACACGGCGGATCTTTAGGGGTACTGGGCTCGAACTCATGACATGCCGGCCATGAACCGATATCTTGATCACTGGGCTACCGCAGACCCTTTTTTATATCAAAGAAATTTAGACAAAAGCACCAGCTATTATTTCCGTTTATCGTAACTCCGAAAACAATGTGAATTTTTGAAACATCCTAGTTTAGGCTCTGTAGAGATCTTAGCTATAAAAAAGAAAAATATTTTTATAGAAACATATTCTATGAAAGCAGAATGTTTTAAATATATGCCCCATTCATTCTTCATTTTTATTTTAAAAAAAAAATGTTTTTAAATAATTTTTTCTTGTAATAATATTCTTAAAGCAATTCTGTTTATTCTAATTAAGCTGATAATATGTGTATGAAATTATTCAGATATATGATTCTTCAAAATTCCTGTTCCGAGTGTAGACAAACACCTCACAAATGGATTTGTCGAAAGTATTCTCTCTCCAAACTAAGACACAGAGCAACGGGAGGATTTGAGCCATGATAGATTTAACAAACATCAGTTTCCTCTACACGGCGGGTCTTCAGTGGCACCTGGACTCGCACCCGCGACACGCTGGTCACGAGCTCGAGACCATAACCACTAGTGTACCGAAGCCCCAATAGCCGTGTCAAAATCGTTTGGATTATTCAATTGTAAAATTAATAGCGCATGCTCTGTATATTGAACTTAAGCGCTCTAGAAATAATGGGAAAAGGGCTGCAGACAACAACGGTAACTCATGCGCACAAACCCGGAAATGTTTCACTAGAAATGCATGCTCAAGACCGGATTCCCTAAAACAGATGAATAGTACTTTAAATTTATGGAGATAGACTGTCTTTCCTCTGAAGTGGCATATATTTGTTAAAGTGAAAGGGAGGATATATATATACCTATGTCAACTTCGTTATGTAGCTATGAATCAAAATTACTAGGTGTATCGCCTGTGTTTAGTAGACTTTAAAAATAAACCAAGAGAAAACTCCAAGAGCAAACAAATGGAAGGAAACAAATTCCAAACATGTACATGCAAATAGAGTCGGACCTCTGTATAACGGATTTGCTAAATCCCGAAAAAAGTTCGTTATATAGAAAACTCGTTATATAGATGTTCATCTCTTTCAATATACTTTATAAACCACATAAAACAAATTTTTAATTCATAAGTGCTATGTATTAAAAAAGTAGTTATTCACACTTTTTTTTAAAAATTAATGTTTTTTTTTTTTTTACATATATCTTATTCATCAGAAAATAAGAAAGAAAGAAAAACTGTAAGGAAAACAAGAAAAAAGAATGTCGAAGAAATACACTGTGTTTTCAATATTAAAAAAAATTATGCGAAAATTATTGAATTTTAAGGACATTTTCTCTCTAAATAAAAGCATACAAGTAACATTAAACATACATTATTTTATAACTAGAACACGGGGACACGAGACAACTCCTCTGAGCGTGAAAGGGAATATAGAAGACGTTTGTAGTGAACTGGACAATGGGGGTAAAAAGTAGCACTTCTTAAATGAAACGTCTAGAACTCTATTGTTCTCGGTGAGTTAGGATCTAATAAAACCAGTTCAAGATTTATGACCACCATAAACTGTGTTAAAGGGAGAATAACTGGAGTTTTTTTCAGAAATACTTTAACAAAAAAAAGGAGAACAAAATTGAATCACAAAAGAACAACAACAATTCATTATATAGAAAATGCATTTTGCTAAACAGAGGTTATTTTACGAAGAAAATTGTGAAATGTTCAAGGTTCCAGGAAAAAGTTAACAATATAGAAAAATTCGCAATGTAGAGGTTTGTTATATAGAGGTTCGACTGTATATATATATGAAGGTAATAATTTTTTTATCGAGGAATTTGAGTTTACCTAGTTTTGAGTCCTCCAAGACTTCGCATGATGATTGATTTCTAGTTTACACGTTTAACGGGAAATAACCATAACCTTACATCACCCGCGTGTTTGGATCAATCAGAAAACCTTTACCGAAAATCATACATTTTAATAGCTTCTGGGGTTGACTATAACTATAAATAGACGAGACCTTGGGTGAGAACACACACACACACAGAGGCTGCTTTTATGAACTTCATAAAAATCGTGCTTTTTAATGTTTTTCTGTTTGTATATACTTATTTTACGTTCATGAGTGTTTCTTTACGCAACTAAATATAAATGTGGATTTTAAAATGCCACGAATACTCATTCCGCAACGACTGAAAATAATGAATGGATTCCATCCAATAAAATGTCTTCATTCAGATCCGGAAACACAACATATATATTTACTGAATAAATTAAATTTATCGGAAAAATGTACTAATATTATAAATAAAGGGTTGAATTTTTGAAAAATTTCAAAATATGCTTTTTTTTAAGATTCACAGATACTTCAGAATTCATTACGACTTGTGAGCAATGAATAACATTAAAATAGTTATAGTAATTCACTATTGGATTTCTACTGCTTGGGCGATTTTGAAGTATAGCACTTTATGACTTTATGAATAATTCAAATAAGTTGATTCCGTTTCGTATGTAATACACAATATTTATTCATTGAATGAGACTTTTCGGAAGTGATTTTGAAGCTGATAAATTTTGCGTTTTTCTGCGTATTTTAGATATTTTGTGGAGTTCTCAGTTCTTTAATCCTACAGTTTTAATATTTTAC